AGTAGTACTAGCATGCATAATAATAATAATACTAAAGATGGTGATGATAATAATACCTTGTGATGACGGCAACAGTAATATCAATAATAATAAAAGTAATAATAATAATAATAATAATGATGTAATAACACTAGTAATAATAATAATGTAATAATGACACACCCAACACATACTACACCTATCCTAGCTTCTGTGTCAGTGTTCATGTTTTTTTTTTTTCCCCTACCATTCTCGGTAAGATTACTATATGTATATGTATGTATGTATGCCTAAGCTGAGGTGGTGCATTAAAAGAAGGGTGTGGTGCATTAAAATCAGCATGCGGTGCATTAAAAACATGTGTGGTATATGTTGGGTGCAGATTTGATTTAAACATATTTAGGTATTTTAGGTATATATATTTAGTGTTATGTTCTTCTTTAAACCATTACCGTCCTTATATAAAATATCATCCCATCAACATCATCTTATTACTGCTCAATGTTTCTATGATATTAATAATGATAATAATAATAATAACAATAATAATAATAATAATAATAATACTGAATAAATAAAAACAACTAAATCATATAACAAAAATACTAAAAATGAAAGTAAAATGAAAGTGAAAACTGATAAAAAAAGTAAATTTTAAATGAATAATAAAAATGTACACAGTATAAATAATACTAAAATAGCACTCTTCAGTACCTTTACAAAACGGCATGATAACATGAAAATAATGTGGCGTTTATAATTATTAAAACCTTGTATAAATAAATATGTGAATAAATAAATTATTAGGATGAGTGTGTCAGATTTGTAAAAGTTGAATGAGGTCTGATCTGGAGTGTTGTGGTTCTGAAGTATAGTTGTAAGGAGGTGAGAAATGTTCTAGGGAGATGTAATCTGTGAGCAAATTTTTCCAATGCGTTATGTGAATAGTGTTTCGGGATTTCCAGTTCAAGAAGATAGTTTTCTTGGCGATGGCTAAAGCTACGAGGAGTATCCTTTTGTTTATTATTTCCTGATTGAGAGTTGATAGATCACCCAGTAGACAGAGTAAGGGGGATAATGGGATGTGGCAGCCCAGGAGGCGGGATAGGGATTCAGTGACGTCTTTCCAAAAGTGTTTAATGGGTGGGCAGTGCCATGTGGCATGGATATATGTGTCCGGACAATTTTTTTGTGAGCAGTGCGAGCAAGTTTCTGATGTGAATCCCATTTTAGACAGCCTTTCCCCAGTGTAATGCGTTCTGTGAAGAGTCTTATACTGTATGAGCTGAAGGTTGGCATTTTTAGTCATGGAATAAATATTGTTACAAATCTGAGTCCAGAAGTCAGTATCAGGAGCAATAGAAAGGTCTTCTTCCCATTTAATTGTTGGTAAAGTTATGATTTTATTTGAATTTATAATTTTGTATATTTTGGAAAGTAATTTTTTCGGGGAGGATATATTAACTAAATCTGCTACTGCAGAAGGAAGGTGAAGATTGATGGTTCTGGTGTTGATTTTAGATGAAACAACTGATTTGAGTTGCAAATAGTTTAAGAATTGATTGCTCCTGATACCGTACCCCCGGGCTAAGTAGGAAAATGAAACCAGGTTGTTAGACTGAAAAATGTGATTAATATGTGTGATGCCCTTTTCTGCCCATTTATGGAAATTGAGTTTTTTTGTTGCTTGTGAAGTCAGGGTTGTTCCAAAGCGGGGTGAGGTTAGATGGAGCCTGATTGGAGTTTGTGATTTGGTGATATTTCCACCAGGCTGTCAGAGCCAAAGCTATTGTCAAGGCTTTGAAGCATGAGTGCTGTTTAATGGACTGACTGAGAAATGGGATGTCTGATATGTGTAGGCTTTCGCAGAGTGATTGTTCTATATCTAGCCATATGATTGATTGTTGGTAAAGTTATGGTTTTATTTGAATTGGTTTTAATTTTGTATATTTTGGAAAGTAATTTTTTCGGGGAGGATATATTAACTAAATCTGCTACTGCAGAAGGAAGGTGAAGATCGATGGTTCTGGTGTTGATTTTAGATGAAACAACTGATTTGAGTTGCAAATAGTTTAAGAATTGATTGCTCCCGATACCGTACTCCTGGACCAAGTAGGAAAATGAAACCAGGTTATTAGACTGAAAAATGTGATTAATATGTGTGATGCCCTTTTCTGCCCATTTTTGGAAATTTAGAGTTTTTTTGTTGCTTGTGAAGTCAGGGTTGTTCCAAAGCGGGGTGAGGTTAGATGGAGCCTGATTGGAGTTTGTGATTTGGTGATATTTCCACCAGGCGGTCAGAGCCGAAGCTATTGTCAAGGCTTTGAAGCATGGGTGGTGTTTAATGGACTGACTGAGAAATGGGATGTCTGATATGTGTAGGCTTTCGCAGAGTGATTGTTCTATATCTAGCCATATGATGTCTGACTGAGTGGGGTGAGTTCATTTATATATGTATTGAAGTTGGTTTGCTAGTGAGTAATGGTAAAAATGTGGGGCTTCTAAGCCTCCTAAAGATTTGGGTTTTTGTAAAGTGCTTAATTTTATCCGTGGTGGTTTATTTTTCCAGTAGAATCGGGTGATGGTGGAGTCTAAAGATTTGAACCAAGTGAGAGAAGGTTGGGTTGGGATCATTGAGAATAAGTAGTTTATTTTTGGGAGTACTGTCATTTTGATTATAGCTATTCTGCCCTGGATGGAGAGTGGTAAATTGAGCCAGCGGTGAAGGTCGTCTTCTAATGTTTTCAGTAAAGGAGTGAAGTTGAGTCCAGTCAGCTCTGACAGCCTGGAGGAAACCTTAACGCCTAAATAGGTGATGTGACCTGTGCATAGGGGAATGGGAGATATCTGGGTTGCCACATCCAATTTGGTTTGATGTAGTGGAAGAATCGAGGATTTATTCCAATTTATTGCGTAATCTGAGATTGTAGAGTATGAATCAATGGTTTTAGTTATTTCTTGCAGAGATGATTGAGGATTTTGCAAAAAGAGTAAAATGTCATCAGCATATAAACTAATCTTATGTTGTGTTTGTGGTGTGTGGATTCCTCTGATGAGTGGGTTCTGGCGGATGGCTGCTGCTAAAGGTTCAATGAAGATGGTGAATAAAGAAGGAGAGAGTGGGCATCCTTGCCTAGTCCCTCTGTGCAGTGTGAAGCTTTGTGATGTTAATCCATTGGTGCTGACTGTGGCAGAAGGTGTTGTGTATAAGATCTTGATCCAATTAATAAACGACTCCCCAAAGCCAAATTTTTGTAATGTGAATAAAAAATTCCAGTTGACTCTGTCGAAAGCTTTTTCTGTATCTAAAGTGACTATAATGGTGCTTTCCTGTTGTAGTGACGAATAATGGATTAAATCGTATAGTCTGCGTGTGTTGTTGGATCCCTGCCTACCTTTGATGAAACCAGTTTGATCTGGGTGGATTATGAATGGGATAATTTTTTCAATTCTGTGCAAGAACTTTACTGATTATTTTGATGTCTACGTTGATGAGAGATATAGGATGGTAGTTTGACGGAAGGGTTGGATCTTTATTAGGTTTGGGGATGAGTGAAATAGTGGCTGTATTCATGTGCACTGGTAATCTTAAGTTTTCTTTTATTTCTGTTATTGCTCTGATGAATAATGGAAATAAAGTGGGCCAGAAGTGTTTATAGAACTCAGCAGGGAAGCCATCGGGTCCTGGTGCTTTATTGTTAGGCATTCGGCTCAGGGCGATATGAAGTTATTTTTCTGTAATTGGTTGGTCCAGTGCGTTGATTTGTTCAGTGTTAAGTTTTGGGAGTTGAATATTATTGAAAAATGAATTAATATCCTCTTGTCTTGTGTTATTATCAGATGAATAAAGTTTAGCATAGAAGTTTCGGAATATTGTATTTATTTCTTGTGGAGAGTTGGTAGGCTTCCCTGCTGAGTCCTTAATAGTTGCAATTGTTAATTTGAAACTTTAGTCTTTGCAACTTTACAGATCTTCTTTATGCACCAAGAGCTTGTAACACTCCAAAGAGAAAGGAAAAAATGAAATTGCATCATATGACCCCTTTAAGATAACTGTCAAACTCTGGGTCTTTAAGGAGAGATATGTTAAAGCGCCATCTACTGGTGTATTTATGTAAATTAGCTGGATTCCATATGAGTGTTATTGGAGCGTGGTCACTGATGCTGATGGGGTGGATTTTATATTCAGAGATATTTGGTATGATTGAGTTACTAGTTAAGAAAAAGTCGATACGGGAGTAGCTATGATGAACCGGCGAGTAAAATGTATATTCTCTGTTAGTTGGATGCTGTAGCCTCCAACCATCGCCGAGGCCAAAATCTCTCATGAACT